ATGTACACTGGTACAGATAGGAACTGGAAACACAGGGAATCCAGGACAGATGATCCCTTCAGGACCAGTGCTGAGCGTGGTTATACTGGGAGGGTGGAGGGAGCGTGGGGTAGAAAGGGGAATTACAAGGATCTACATATATTCTCCTCCCTGGGGGACAGACAACAGAAAAGTGTGTAAAGGGAAATATTGGACAGTGCAAGATATGAATAATTAATAATCGGTAAATTATCAAGGGTTCATGAGGGATGGGGGAGTGGGAAAGAAGGGTTAAAAATGAGGAGCTGATGTCAGGGGCTTGGGTGGAGAGCAAATGTTTTGAGAATGATGAGGGCAATGAATGTACAAAAGTGCTTTATACAATTGATGTATGTACTGATTGTGATAAGAGTTGTATGATCCCCTAATAAAATGATTTAAAAATTGTAAAAACATGACAAAATAATAGTTTATGGATTATCAAGGGTTCATGAGGGAGAAGGGAGTGGGGAGGGAGGGGAAAAATTAGGAGCTGATACTAAGGACTCAAGTAGAAAGCAAATGTTTTGAGAATTATGATGGCAACAAATGTACAAACATGCATGACACAATGGATGTATGTCTGGATTGTGATGCGAGTTGTACGAACCCCCCATAAACTGATTTTAAAAAACTGGGTCAAGAGGAAGATCAATAACCAGATGTCACATTGTGACCTAACCACAATTGTAGTCATCTAGCTGCTGTGTACTTTCCCATCTTTGGCCCAGAGCCACAATGGATTCGCCAGAGGGTTAAACTGCATGGGGGACCTCAAGTGAATCTGGGGCTTTCACGGTCCTCCACAGCCTTCTGCAAGTCAGGTGCTCACAGTTTAACCTCTGATACCATTCCCTCCTCTCCTCTGTGCTTGGATTTTATTATTTACAATTCTTGGACCACGCAAGCTGGTTTGCTTCCTCCTTGTGGACTTAGCCAACATCTCATTTAGATACCTGTTTGTTTGAAGACAAGCCTTTAAGACCCGACAGGGCATCATCTGCCTTCTTCACCACCCTTGGCTCTAGTGATCACTTCATGGGGGTAGGTATTGAGCAGGGCTGTAAGACAGTTAGCTTTTGATAGTGTAGGTACCTAATATTGTACGATAGAGGTAAACAGGCATAAGACGGAAAGCTTGACTAACACTCTATTTCCATGAAAAAGTATGTTCAATGAGAAACAAAGTTAAAACCCACTACATCTACCTATGGAAATTTGTCATATGATTTTGATGGTTAATTAAATTAAATAATATATGGATCAGCTACCAAAAAAAACATCTTGGTCAAATGCCTAAACTGTTTAATCAATGTATGATTCCTCTGGGTTTCTGGGGGCACCAGATGTAGTATAAATAAAATAACTTTCATGATTATTTCACAGATTATAATGTCAACCTCTGAGGCCTCCAGATACACACACACACACACACACACACACACACACACACACACACAGTATCTATCTCCTGGTGACAGTTTATTTCATTCTCCACAGTGCTCCTATATACCTAAGTGTGGAAAAAACTTTGAAGAATCCATGTCCCTGGTGAATGTTGTCATGGAAAACTTCAGGAAATACCAACAATTCTCCTGCTATTCTGACCCGGAAGGAAACCAGAAGAGCGTCATCCTAACGAAACTCTACAGTTCCAACGTGCTGTTCCATTCGCTCTTCTGGCCCACCTGCATGATGGCAGGGGGGGTGGCGATCGTGGCCATGGTGAAACTGACACAGTACCTCTCCCTGCTCTGTGAGCGCATCCAACGGATCAACAGATAAAGGCAAACATGGACGAGATCACTTTTATTTAAAGCTCAAATACTGTTTTCTTTCATTCTTCACCAAAGAACCTTAAGTTTGTAGTGTGCAGTCTGTTATGAGTTCCTCAATATGTTCTTATCCGTAGAGCAATAATGCAACAGCTGTGGTATATGCAAACAGGATGGCTTTCTTATTCAGAAGAAAGACCTGTGTTGGGTTGGTTGGTTGCTTTCATACTCTTGTTTCTGTGCTTCCTTCTCCCATTCAGCCGAAATAGGGCTCGGTGATTCACTTGCCTAGTTTTGTGGACGAATGTAGACAACATCCGTGTGATATGGTCTTCTGAGTTGTCAGACCTCTTGAAGACCCTTCTGCAATATTTTTCATCATTCATTGTTTACTAAAGCTACAGCCAAAAAGAATTGTTTATTCTTTTCCGTACCCTAAGCTGAGCCCTATTGCAAGTACAGGGACGAGATGCCCCAACTAAAGGGTGGTGAGCATTTTCCTTGTATTTTTACCATCTCACTGTAAAAAGGAAGGGAGGAGAGGAAACCCAGACAGCTACTTTTCTTTCATCACTTTGTACTCATGGCGTTGGATTTTTTACCTGGTTTCTCAGAAAATAAGCTGTTTTCATTAGCCAATTTGATCATCTCTTCCTGTGGTATAAACAGAAAATGACCAGAGCCCTTCTCCATTTAAGACCCTGCTACTGTGTGAGGAGCTGACATTTACAAGGAGTTTATTGCCTATGAACTGACTGACTATTGGTGGCTGCTCGGGTACAATCTCAGAAAGTCTACTTAACTAAGACATTTGCTTGGCATTTTGCATTTCATTTCAGTGGTTAGATGAAGAAATTAAGATCTGACTTCCTGGTCAGAACCGGTGGATTATTTTCAAATGGGTAAATCTATTGTGACAAATTAATATGTTGGAATATTGCTCTTTGGACATTTGTGTTTAAGCTCAAGAATGTGTAGTCTCTCCTTGGACTCTATCAGGATTCTAAAGCTGTGTGCTCAGAATCTTTGTCTCTTCCTCATGTGTCATTTTTCTATTTAGAATTCCCTGCTGGTTGTTATATTTCATAAATCGAGTAAACCTTTTTTTTCTGTAACAAACAAGGGAACCGAATAACAGATTTAAAGGAACCCTTTGCTCACATTGCCGTTTCTTTGTGATTTAAGAGGGGAAGGGAGGGGCTCTTTTAAATGAAATATTCCATGCTTTATTTAATATTAATTCCAAAAAGAAAACACAAGTATATCTTTCTCATCTATATTTAAGTACATTTTTGTAACATCAAAATTTGGGCTTTTTTTATTTTAGAAATAGCAAAATTTTACAAATCATACCTTTGAAGTGAATGGTAAAATGAGTTTGATGAAGTGGAAATTAATCTGCAATATTGTAACTCATAGTTTGACTTTTCATAAGCAAATAAATCCCTAGGGTGCAATGAGGACTTCAGATGTGTAATTAAAATTAAAACACACACACACACTAAATCAGCAAGGTTTGAATACCACTTCTATTCTAAGCTAACCAGGCCATGAAAATCTAAAAATCTATGACTTACTATCTTTAATAGCTTAAAAGATTGCAAATAAAGTAAGTCTTTCATATATATGGATGAACATATATACACATAAATATACACATACAATGCTGTGAACATTTGGAAAATATGATGAAACCTTATAACAACTATACATTAAGGACACAAATCTGAACAGAGAAATTTTTGTGATTATGAAGCTCAAATTTTGTAATCTTTAATGTCCCTTGGACTTCCCTTCAAGTGATCCAAAGGTAAAACATATGTAAATGAAATCATTTGATGAGAGGTTTCTTTTGTTTTTATTTTAATCTGGATCTTTAATTTAAATTTCCCAACTGATGTTTCAGATAAAAATATTGAAGATTTCAAAATAATGATATCAAAAAGAAGCTAAGTATAGTTCCTTGAATCCTAATATTAATTAATAAAAGAGAAATATCTTGGAATAATAATATTTAAAGCATTTACACATGTTAACTAATGTGATGCTTATAGCAATTTCTGGAAGAAGACACTAATATTAGCCCATCTTACAGATGAGAACATCGAGATAAAGAGATGTTAAATAAATTACCCAAGGTTACACAGATATTAAAATGATGGAAACCTAGGAAAATACCCAGCCTGGGAGTTTCGTATTATGGTAAGCATTTCCATGGCTTTGAGATTTTTCTGGATAACACTGGAGGGTACTAAAGATTTGAAGAGATTATAGTGGTGGTAAAGGAAAAAACCGAAAAAGAAAAAACTGTAAGTCAAAGGACTTCCATTCAACACCTACAGACCAAGTAATCATAGACTTCTCAATTATCTCTTAATATCTTTGAGTATAAGATGAGATAAAGCAAGCTGATTTCTAAGGCAACTTTTAACACTGGCTTTCCAGCCTAGGTATAAGGTCAGAAGATGACATACCATTTTCTAGCCTTCAGAGTACAGATCAGAACCTGCACATATTAATCCATGAATCAAAAGCAGCCATCCTGCCTATAGTTCCAATATCCCACGAGCCTATTCTTGAGGGTCCCCAATGTTTTATTTACATCTCCCAGAATAGGGAGCTCTTAGTTTTCACATGATTCAGCAAAGATGACTTCTCCAGTGTGGAACAAATAAATACTGATGCTTCCAAATCACATTCATCATCCAATTGCCCAAATCTCAAGTTCCTCAAAAGTTGAAATCTCATCCAAAAAAAATATTGGTTTCAGATTCCACAAGTTTGTAATTATATTTAAACACAGAAAATGGCAAACACAGTAATGACTGCTTGCAAATTGCACGAATAAAAAGATGTGAATCTGCAGAGGACTTCTGGCCAAACAACTGCTCATAATGGTGGTGAGAGTAGCAGTCACACAATTCCCCTTAAGTAGACCATGTGACATTTAGCATCACCTCATGTTACTCTTCTCTCGTTGCTGTGAGTTACCAAAATGGCGATTACACATGGCATTTATACAACAAATATTAGTTTCTACATGTCAAACCACAGCTTATTATCACACTTTGGGACCGAAGCACCTGAACACTATAATTATTCCACTGGCATTAGCAGAGAGATGTTGGTCAGCAAAATAGCCTGAGTAACTGAAAAGTGAACTAAAACCATTTTAAAGGAATGTTTTGTTGTATTACTGGCATAGTTACCTGCCAACCCCCACCCCACCACCCCCAGACTGAACTGAGCACTGTTGAAGCCAGTAAGGTTGTTCAAACTGCCCTGGTGAGAGACAGGGTATAATTAAAGATTGAGCACTATTTCTTCTGAACTTCCACTTTTTCTCTCCCCTTTAATAACAGCTCAGTACTAACAAGATCACATTCATTCCACTGTAGGCGTATGTGGGGCATTTCAGTCAAGGGACAAAGGTGCAGGACTCTTCTGAACAAAAAGCATGGCTTACGACACCTGAGCAGACAACTTCTACCGGGTTGGGGAAAAAAACATGTGCTGGAGTTGGATCTGGTCCATCCTTGTATGTTTTCAGCAACATGTACAAAGTCCGAAGTTCAAAGCCACCAGCTATGCTCAAGAGAAACATAGGGCTTTCTAGTACTCCTGTAAAGAATTACAGTGTGGAAACCCATAATAGTAATTCTACCTTGCCCTTTTTGTTGGATATATGTCAGAATCAGCTCAATGGCAGTGAGTTTGTGTTTGGGGGGGGTTTATAAAGAGGGATACAAAGTATACAGGAGGCTTCAAAAAGTTCATGGGGGGAAAATGGAATTAAATGATAATAAAAGTTTCCATGAACAGTTTGGAATTTCCTTGTGTAACATTGACTTCTTCCTCCAGAATGAGTTTAGGATCTGGCAGATGGCTAGAAACTTCCCTCATTTGGGGGGGGGGATTTTAAAGAACAACAATTAGTTCTAGAATCTATAAGGGTTAATATAAAGCTCAGAAGGTTAATATAAAGCTTCATTTAGACATCTATGTAAATGTTCTAGAATTGTATATAGTCTATAATAGATTGTCATCAAATGGTAAGTATTACTACTAATAGTAAAATGTAATTAATAGTATTGGCATTACCACTAATTGTGTATTTATGTAGTCTCTTGGAGCTAAAATTGCTATAATATGTCATTTTGTCCAAATTTTGTATCAGTGCATAAATTCCTTCTATTAAATCCTTGGCAGCAATCCCACTGAAGAAGCACAGACACTATTTGAATCCTGCCAGGGATGACATTGGTCACTACTTAATAAGCACTGCTAAGAAGCATTCATTGTAACAAGTTGAAATTCACCTCTCTGTAATATCTACCCACTAATGCCTACCTACTAAATCTACGCAAAACCAAACCAATACTCCCGTCACTGATTCATTCCATTCATGTTATTTTACTGATAAAATAGTGGAGGGAATGGGATAGAGAAAAATCCATTTGTTTGGAAAGTAAAACAACAGAAAATAATCTCTTCAGAATTTTGATAACAAGGGGAGTTGAGGGAGGCAACATAGATACTAACCTTAAAGGCTTAAGAATATACCCATAAGAATCTAAAAATTCATGGATGAAATAATTGATTAGCTACCCAGATCTTAATGATGCCACTTAGAATTTTCACCCTGCACAACCCCAAATGTGATCTGGCCTTCTAAAAGGTAATACTGTCTGAAATTCTGTATTATATTTTTATTCAACTTTATGACAGTCAGGTATAAATATGTTTCAAAAGATTAGTGCAATTGTGTGATGGGTTTGTCTTGACTAAAATTCCATTTTCCAATGCAATGCAAAGGAATTGAAGGAAAATGTCACTTTGCATTCCTGTAGTTATTTCATGATTACATGGGTAGGGATAATTCTTCCCCTGGATACAGGCTTCATACAAATTGCAAGAGAAGTTGTTCTTTTGAGTTTTATCATCATTTAATCAAGGTGTACAGGGCTGTTCTTTAACCTAGTTCTTTTAAGACAGGTTTAATGCCCAAGTCTTATAAATTATAATATGAGTTGTTACCAATATAATATGATCTCAGGTTCATGGTGACAGGTCCCAAGACCCTTTACATACATGGTTTTATCACCTATGGCAAGACTAGAAATTTCTTTAAGTAGAAGTCACCATGTTTCTTCATAGAAATTTCTCTCTCTCATTTTCTTTTTCTGTTGGTTACATCTTTAATCTCATACAAGCAAAGATACCCCAGCAACTACGTGTTCTTAAACCACCATGTCTATAACCACAGGAGAGAAACTCGGGATTAATGAGTCCCCCAAAGCCAGTTCTCTTGGTGTTGCATGTTCACTAGAGGGCGCATAAATATGAGCTGGACTATATAACATGTCACTACATGGCCACAGGCCAGACATGTGATTTGCCGCCCCACTAGCCAGGGCACATATAATTCTCCAAGGGATAAAGGCTATGTGTTAGAAAAAGGAATGCTGGATAATCAAAAACAACAGATTCCTATTACAAGCAACTTGGACAAATCTACACCAAACTCATGTCCCAGCAGAGATTTTGATTGATGTAGAAGCAGAGTGCTATATTATCGGGGGGGGGGGGGGGGGGTGGAAAAACATAGGGTAAATTAACAGAAAGCACCCTGGCTCCAGATTTACTTTGTAATTTTCCTATGGCCCCCAATTACCTCGTACTATATACAAGGGAAAAGGCCCAATTTTAAATTTTTACTACATGAAAGATACAGAACCACTTTGGTTTTAGGAGGCAAGAGATTCCCTTAAAGAAATATGGAGAGGGCCTGTGATATGTTAGTAAAAGTGAAGAGTTAATAGAGAAGCAAAACCAATTTTGAAAAAGGAAAAAAGTGATAGTTTTGTGGGGGACGATTGGGAATTTAAGAATCTAATTTTAGGAAGAATTCATCAGACACTAGGGCAGTGGTTCTCAACCTGTGGATCGTGACCCCCTGGGGAGGGGGGGCTTGAAAGACCCTTTCTTTCTCAGGTGTCGCCTAATACATCCTGCAGATCAGATAGTTACATTATGAATCATAACAGTAGCAAAATTACAGTTATGAAAGAGCAACGAAAATAATTTTATGATTGGGGGGTCACCACAACATGAGGACCTATATTAAAGGGTCACAGCTTTAGGAAGGTTGAGAACCAGTGTACTAGGGGATTTCTCTGTTCTTTGTTGTGTTTGTTGTTTCTTTATGAGCCTCATCCTCTGGGGTGGCTGAAGACCATTTGGCAAAAACCAAATGTCACGCCTTCATTTCCCATTCATGTGGGGTGAAAAATAATAGAGTGCAAA